TGGCCTCTTGAAGAAGACCAGCAGGAGATGTTTTGGTTTAATCTGAAAATAGCTCTAAAATCCTAGACATGGAGATTAACGAATTAGTATGTAGCAAATGTACTCTGAATTAGTTTCCCCTGCCTGTTCGTCCCATCGCCTGTCTGTATCTCGAGAACAGAGAGCTGAGCTACTGCAAATTCTACTGCTTGCTGTGAGATTATTTTCTTTTTGTCACCATGGTCATGAACTGTTGTACTGGTTTCCGTTGGAATAGAGTTAATTTTCTTATGGTTGCTCCTATGGTGCTGTGGTTTGGATTAGTGACCAAAACAGCATGGATAACACAGGGATGTTTTAGTTACTGCTGAGCAGGGCTTGCCCAGCATCGAGACCTTTCCTGTTTCTCACGCTGTCCTGCCAGTGAGGAGGCTGGGGGTGCATGATAATTTGGGAGGGGACACAGCTGGGACAGCTGATCCCAGCTGAACAAAGGGATGTCTCATACCATGTAACGTTATGCTCGGCAATAAAATTTGTGTGAAAGAAAGAGGAAGGGAGGACGTTTGGAGTTACGGTGTTTGTCTTCCCAAGTAACTGTTATGCATGATGGAGCCCTGCTTTCATGCAAATGGCTAAACATTTGCCTGCTGATGAGTGTGGTGAGTGAATTCCTTATTTTGCTTTACCTATTGAACTGTCTTTACCTCAACCCACGAGTTTTCTCAGTTTGACCCTTCCGACGCTCTCCCCTGTCCCGCTGCGGGGGGCTGAGCGAGCGGCTGCGCGCTGCTGCACTGCCTTCCGGGGTTAAACCACAACAATTGGCTACACGCGTGAATCAGCACTGTTAGCAAAAGCTGTTTCCTTTAAATATTTAATGATGGAAAGTTGTTTAGCTATATAGTTATGTAGTTTATATATCTTTATCTTTGCAAGAGCTTTAGGAGAAAGCCTGCTTAGCCAAGGGGTTTTCTGCATTCTTTGTATAAACCACTTCTAATCAAATGCAATAAAAGTCAGTTTATGCAGCAAGGATTTTTGTCCTAGCTCTCCTAGTTAGTGGATCTAAGGACTGATACTGAGCAGTATTTCACAATCACCATAAATGAAATGTCCACATCTCCTGAGGATCGTGGCTGCAAGGCTTTAATGTAAAAAATGCACTTTCACACTGCGGTTCTGGCTGTTGTAGCATGTTTGTTCTACGGCAGACGACTTTCTTGGTGAAAGACACCTATGGAAGATGATTTCTGCCTAGTACCGTTGTGCCTTATGTGGGAATAGATGCTTCAGGGTAGGATCTAAATACTCTTCTGACTTGCTTAAATGGAGTTTAAGTTATTCTCAGCTAGAATGTGGGAAACACTGTTGTATATGTCATTTCTGAACCCAACACCATACTCCTGTCTCTGATCAGCAGCCTTAGCACAGGCACAAAAAGGGTGTTTCCTACCTTTCTGCTCTCTCTGTAAACATAGTCCAGAAAACCAGAGGGGATGGAGAGCATCGCACCTCAGACGTTGTGTTTGCTGTCAGCTGGGGCCAACCTTCTCAAGAAGATTGCTGGGACAAGGCCTCTAATTGCTGAAAAAGTGAAATAAATGGGAGACACTGGCACCAGGCTCTTCCTTCAGAGATGGTTTAGAAAGAAAGGGGTGTCTTAGGTGATACCTGCCTTGCAGCCACAGGAAATTTCAGATGAACAGCTTGAATCTGGTAGCCAGAGGGACGACTAACTTCTGTTAGGGCTTAGGCACAGTGTAGGACTTTTCCAGGCATGTACAGAAGCAGAGCTTAACAGATGGTAGTTGCCATTTTTTGGAATTCGCTGTATACAAAGCCATTATTTGACTTAAAAGTCTCCTTAACTGCTGCACAATTTTCTATAGTCAGAATTTCAGCTGGAAGCCACTACCAATATATTTAATAATGAAACAAAATATTTCTTTTCCTTTTTTTTTTTTAGGGGATATTCATTCTAATAAATAAGCACAATCTTCCCATTAAAGGCAGCAATTTCTTTTAGTTCTTACTTTGTGAAAATAAAACAAAATGCTTTAACAGCATGCTGTACAATCTTACTGTAATGCAAAAAGAGGCACTAACCTGCAAGAAGGTGTATAGCCCACCAGAGTTCAACTAACTGCTATTTTCTCTAGTCTGTTAAAATTGGAGTACAGAATATGCGAATTATTGTAGACGGGTAAATATCCTTTGCATTCTCACTAATAATCTGAGTCCTATTCTAGACCCAGTGGGTAATTAATGCCTTGGACAATGCCTATAACAACCAGTTGCCAAACCACCAGATAGCACAGCCAGTCCAAAAGTTGTCCATACAATACGTGTGCATTCCCACCTTATCTATTGTTAAGGAAACTGGAGAGAAAATGCAACAATAAGTAAATCTTGGTGTTTTTTCTTAGCCAGGATCAAAGAAAAAGTATTGGGTAAAATTTTTGAAATGCCTTCTTTTCAACTCTTCTAATTCGCTTCCTTTTTTATAGGGGTAAGGTTAAAATTCAATATCCTCTCCACATACGGTTAAAATAGGCTTCAAAAAAGTAAGCCAAACTTTGCCTCCACTCAAGCAGGTTTCTACAGATTCAGCAGCAGATCTTCAACTATTATTTCATTTGCTAAAGGAAAAATGTTGTTTCCTAACTACCATGAGGAGGGGGAAAAAACAGCACTTGTTCTGAAAGTAGATTATATCCATTTTGTTATTTCATTAAAGAGCAAAATCCACAGCATGGTCTTTCTAAAACTGATTTACATTCTTTAAAATGTTCTTCTCATTATAAAAATGATTTCCGGATGTCTTAAAATCAAGAAGAAAGAAAATCGTGCACTTTTCTTAGCTTGCTTGGGGTCTTAGATAAGATAAAGCCAAACAGAACTATCATCTCCCCTAAATATAATTGTTCCTTAATAATAATTGGTTTTCCATTTATTTGATGTGGCCATCTCATCCCTCCGCTGCAGATCAAAACAAGAATTAGTAAGTAATCAGGCTATGGTTTGGAAAATCCAAATCAAAAGCACAGTTGTTAGGGAGAGGGTATGGGTTACTTAACATCCTCTTCAAATCAACATTCTCAGGGCAGTATGGGTAAGTCTGGTTCTTGCCAACAACAGATGCAGGACTCATGAAACTTGGTATCAGGTGTATTGTTAAGGAATCTTTAAATTATAAACAAGGCCCAGTGCATATACCTGCAAACCTAATCAAACCATCAACACATAATTTTAATGACTGATTATGGATACAGTCTTGTTTTATAACTGAGTAGTTTCAAATTAGTTAAAATATTCAGAATATTTAGAATTATTTTAAAGTTGAATTTTAAAGTTGAATTAAAATTGAATGTGACTTGGTATTCACATTTTCCTGCTTGCAAGAAGCCAGGGTACCTTTATGAACTGCAGAAAGGGGTGACATCGTTCCAGCACGTATGCGATGATGCCTTTTGTTTTAGTTTCTGGAATGCAAAATGCTGGGTTGTGTGCTACCCCTGAGTATGAGACATTTGGTCTTCTGTTGGGCTGTGGGGGATGTATGTGCCATCGTTTGAGAAGGGTTCCACATCTGACTCAAAACTGCCCAGCAAGCACAGCCCCAGGCACAGCCGGAGGAAATCCTCTGCAGCACACGGGAGCCTAGGTTGGCAGACCTGACCCAAGGGTCCAATGTGCCGCCAGGCACACCCGCGCAGGCTCTGCACCGAGTACCTGGAAGACGGATTTGGGCCTGAAACCATAGGGTTATGGACACTCTTGCATCAGTCTTTCTGGCAAAAAGCTGTGTGGCCTCAACTTCTGTCACAGAACTGAGATATATATCATGCTCCTATTTTTACTTTTGTGCTATGTTGTTTCTGAATATGGTTTTGGTTCCTTTTTTTTCTTTGTATTTATTGCCATTGTTATTGTTTTTTAATGCAGCATAAAAGAGGAGAAAACAACAGTTCCATAATTACATGGAAAGGATACACATCGTAACAGGACAACTGGTAGGTGTTTTCAATGATCCCTTCTTCATTTATATCCACAAAAATTTTCTGCCCGCGGACTGCACAGATGTCATTGGACAAATTTCTTGTTGGTGTGCCACTGATGTAAAACTGTCAAGATCAAGTTTACTGGAAAAAAAGAAGCCAAAGAACAACAAAATATTTGCTTAGTGTCAAGGACGCATAAACACATTTTAAGTGCCATCAAAGATAAGGACAGCATGAAAATAGCTACAGTTGTCTTACTTTACTACTGCCAGGATGCACAGTTACCAAGAAATAATTCAAATCTTATTGCTGATGCAAGAACTTTAGCAACTGTCTGCTTGATTTTAAGTAACTGGGACATAAGAGAGTTGTGCTGAGGTAATCACCTTATTCGAAAAAGAAAAGAGCTATAAAAAGGAAAGGGCAAGAAGAGTCTTTCGCAGACATTGGGGAAGTAAGAAGCTTGTCTTCCTACGGCAATCAGGAAAATTACGTAGTCTCTTGTACACAGGGCCCACCTTTCGGAAACCCCAAATCAGGCACTGGCATGTGTCACTGACTACTACTTCGTTGAGACTGTTCTTCTAATCATAAGATTGACAAAGGAGTTCAACAGTTTGCCCATGGCACAAGACCAGCTCTCCTCAAGGAAAAGGGAGGTTATGTTACTGCCAGCGTATCCAGTAGACCTTATTCTCACAAGAGATTCAAGAGCTCACTTTCGGTCCTCACAAGTGGTATCCAGGATGATCCTCAGCCCTTACACCAATGGCGAAGGCCATGTCGTCGGAGCAAACCTCTGCAAAGTCTCTTCCCATCACTCCGTACTACAGTCCGCAAAAAAAAGCAGTGTCCCAGCAAAATCCGTGGAGTCATCAGACTTGATTCTGTCATAAAACCATGAAAGAGTACTCAGGTGAGTCCATCCTTGATCAAAACACCAGAATAACATATATAATAAGATTTTTACTCCGGTTGGCTCCTGCTTCATTCAAACGGCAGGTTTACTTTCATTTTCTTTTGCGGCAGTAGACGCCCCCGTACTTGAAGTATCAATATGCTTGGCGGCAAGCAAGGTGGAAAGTAGGCTATGAACTGCTTTTGGAGCCACAGCTACTCAGCTCTGTTCTGGGAAGGCCAAGCTGACACATTTCCTTATAGAAAGGGACTTTGCTTAGAGTCTTATTATAGAGAACAATTAGATATATTTCATTGTTTTGCAGAAGCAATGAGATCAGCCGAATCTCAGTAAGGTATAAGATGCCAGTCAAAGAAAATGTTAAGTTTCTGTAGTTGAAAGAGCCCACTGTCCTCCTGAATACAAATTCCTTCAGAATAGAATCTTTGCTAAATTGCACCAAGTGGTATTTAACCCCCTAACCCCCCCAAAAACCCCAACCCAACAGAGTCTGCAAAAATGTTAACATCTCTTGTCATCTCTCTGAGATTATATGTGTTACAGGTCTTGGGAGGCTGAAACCTGGCTACCAAATGCTCATAAACCTGGATCTTCTCAACGTTAAAAAGGACTTGTCATTTCTGCTGCAACAGGGCACAAAGTAAGATCCTTTAAAATAGAGCTAACAAATTTTGTAGCTATATCTTTAAAATACACTAGTGAGGGAATTTAGCTGGTTAAATAGAATATCTCAACAGACTAAAGCTTAACAGTATTGGTAACACAAGACTGCTAAGTTTCTGCCAAGAATTTTCCATCACAGCTATGTACTTTTGGATTAATCACCTATACAATGTATGGGCAATAAATCTGACACTTAAAGGAAGAGCTGATTTATGTATGTGCAGTCTCTCCAATACCTCCAAGAAGTGTTGGACTTACAGCAGATGCGTTATGCAGTTGGTCTACACGCTCTTGAGGAATCCCTGGATTTCTGGCCAGATGGTGCCTCAAACAGAGTCCAGCACAGTAGCTCTGACTGGGCTGCTAGTCAGACAGAAATCCTGGAAAAACATAAAGAAAATTTGAATTCTACTCAGGCAAAAATTCTAGCTGGATTAAGAGGTTAGGTCGAGAATCATCTGGACATACAGTATTGTCTTGGCAATAAAATGTCAAAATGAAAAGAGGAGAACCCCCTAGCAATATTATGGCCCGGGAGAGTGGGTAATCATAATTATCAGAAAGAATTAGAATGTGGTTTTGGTGTGAATGTGCTTATCTATTTTTATCCTTTATGTCAAGGCTTTTTATGTCTCATCTCCTTCAATTATACAAATGAAGGACTGAGGATTAACTCAGTAGTTAAATTAGGGGATTGAATGAGTGAACACAGTGGCTGTATGAAGTTTAAGGTTTTTCCCCCTCCTCTCTTCACACCACAAGCAGAAGTTGTAAAATGACTAAATATCAAACTTCAGACCAACTATGCAGTAACAAAATCAGGAAGTAAGAGAACCTACAGCTGCACAATGTAAAAGGGGTTTCCTATGTTAAGGTGGGTGGTGAAGAGACCAGCCTGGAACAATTTCACTGAAAAAAAAGTAAATCTATCAAATAGGAAATCATAACAGTTGCCAATCCCAATTTTGCCTGAAGATCCCTACCTAAAGAACAGATTAAATCCAAACGTGGTAAACATTATGGCTAGATAACCCACAATTCCATTTGCATAACTCAGCTTATAGATCAGGAGGAACCATTTGTAGGCCAACCTATGGATAAGAGAAAAGAAAGACTGCTCAATACCTTGCATATTTTGCAGAGTGGCACAAAATGCCACATACTAGGTAGCTTCTTCGGACGTATTCATATAAATTCAACACTTAACTTAAAACTTCTTTCTACAGCACAATAAAATGCTGTGGCTTGAACTTTTAAACCTTTTTTTTCTAAATGAAATTATATCAAGCTTAATATGTATATGTGCTTGAATTGCCCACAGTGATGAAATATTCCACTTCTTTTCCAATGAGCAAATATTTGAAACCCACTGAAGAGTCAAAAGCCCTGTAAGTCAGTTCTCTCCATGATCACATTAACAAACCGTGGATTTGGGATTGTGGAAGCCTGATGATGACAAAGATAAAGCAAGACTGGCTTTAATATGTGTTTGTAGAGTTAGCTCCTGTATCTTTATGGAAAGGTTACTAAAAAAAAAAAAATAAATCTGAGTGGAGATGGTTTTCAAATTTATGTTTGGTTTGGGGCTGGGGGATTTTTTAATAGCAAACAAAAAGCACAATCTATCTAGAGTAAAAAAACCTATTTCTATGGAAGATGAATCTCCTTCCTTAACCCAAAAAGCAGAATTCTGAAAGTATGTGTGTTACTCTCTGTGAAACCTAACACAGTTTTGCCACAGATTTCAACAGAAGCAGAACTGGATTCTTCTTCTTCTCCTAAGAAAAAGGAGAAACTCTTAATGAAAAATCCCCCAAAACCCCAGAAAGCATGCAACTGTTGAGCAAACTGGCATTTCACAATATAAGTTTAAATAAATTAACAGATAGAAACACCTGTAAAAGATAACGACACAGCACCATTAGGTCACACCACTGTTAGGCATTTCTCCACCCTGCAGCCCTGGCATTTCGGGACCACACTCTGCTGCTTGCGACCCTAAAAGTGACAGGGCTCCGTCGGTGCCAGGCAGCCCTCCTGGCAGGCCACAGCTCAGTGGTCCCTACACATCCCTGGCCGCGGAGTCGGAAGTCTCCTGGCCTTCACCGGAGGCCACCAAAGCCTCCCTCTCGCCTCACTGCTGTCCAAGGGCGTCCCTCTCCAACGGGCTTTTGTGCCGCGGGTTGCTTTTTTTTCAGTAGGCTGAAAGTAAAGTCTGAATTTAAGTGGCAAAGCCAAAACCGAACAGGCACACATCTTCAGTAAAGTAGCTACTTTCTAACACAAATCTATAATGGAACTTTGTTATCACGGTAGTTGCAAAGTTAAATGCTAATTAATTAAACCATAGTATCACAGCCTTCTCTTGGGTGATGCTGTTATCAGATGACTTGGTACACATTGTTTGCAGTAATTGTTTCAAATTTCCCTATTGATTTTTATGTCTTCTAGATTGTTAATTTTAATACTATTAGCCTTTACATGAAATGCATGAGTATTTTGTCAAGTAAATGAGGACAAAGATAGGAATCAAGTCATACAGATGAAAAACCCCAGTATTGATTTATTATTAATACTGGAAGGTCACCCTCTGGACAATTCCATAAAATAATACATCTGCATTGCTGCTAAATGGGAGCTTTAACATCTGGATCATATTATTCCAAATTTTCCTCATCCACCCATCATAGCGAGAGGAATTTCCTGACAAATCAGATTGCTGCCCAAAGGTAAAATGTTTTTCTCATTACCGTACTTTAAATGCGCTCAAAAAGACCTAGAAGTGAAGTCAGCATCAGCGTCATAGACTACTTTCCCATTTTCTAATTATGCAGATTAAATAGGTCATACAAGCACCAACTGAAAAACATCCATCTGTCCTCTGCTTCCCTCGCAACGCTCCCCCAACTCTGCGCGAGTAAGGATGCCTATCACCAGCAGATTCAACAGGACAGCATTAGTCCACTATCCTTTCCATCTTATAGCACATGGTGAAAACTGCATACATAAAGAAAATAACGGTGTAATAATTAGATTTATTGTGACAGACTGACCTTACCAGAACTTGTTAACTTGGCAACGCAAGCTAACTGGCTCTCTAAAAATCTACTTTCTTTTGATGTAGACATATTCAAATACTCAAAAACATATGCATTGAAGAAATAATAAATCAGCTGTTTATTTATTTTTTTAAGGTTGAAATTAATGTGCTTATACTTGATAGTACATTGGAAATTGGCAGGGATTTCTATATTAAGTAAATCAACCAATCTTATTTTCAAGATTTGCCTCGTTACTTAGGTATAGAAATCAATGCTGCCATAACTAAGCTGCTTCATTTTTCAACTATGTTCCAAAGTAAGTTCTCACTACATGACTGCCACATGATACAAGACATATAATCAGTAAAATGGGCAACCACCTACAGAACCAGAATTAAGGCTTTTGTGTTTGAGATTGTTCTGAGACCATGACGAATCTGCCTTTCTATCTATCTCAGATGTTTTAAGATGTCTATTACGCCAGGGGAGAACAATTTTTTTGCAAATATATCATATTTATTTAATTTTCATCAATGGACAGCTTCCAATGGCAAGCAAATTGCATTATAAGAATCAGCTGAGTACTCGATAGTCAGAATTTCCTTTGGGAAAATACCAAGTCAGAACACTAATAGGCTTTTTCCTTCCTTCCCCATTAGATATGCTAGGCTCCTGCCTTTGTGTTGACAAAAATGGATTGGATAGGATAGGCGAGGACAGGGCAGGAGTGGTTTTTCCAGGCTGGTAACGCTCTGACCAGCACCCTTCATTGCCACCCCACCTCCCAGAGCACGTAACGCAGCCGCAAGCACATTCGTTGGAGAAATGAGGGCGTTATCTGAACGCAGATCAAACTTATTGAAAATGAGTTTTTTGCAATGTGAATTAGCAGAACACAGGCTCCATATTTATTTTTTTAAATCTCAAATAACCATAACAAAATTCTCAAAAGTAATGGAGAAATGATCTTTTTCCCTAATCTGCTTCCTCATCATATGGAAGTTAAGCCCAAACTGTCAGCTACTATCTAGAAGAAAAAACCCACAACTGTCAGAGTGGCCTACATTTTATTTCAGACTAAGACTTCCTAGAAAAACCTCTTCCTTATTTTTTAATTTTTTTTTCCCTCCCCCTCCTCTGTGCTGGGATCACACCCCTGGTACTTTATAAGTAGCCATCTGTTGAAGGGCAATCTCTTCCCTCTTGCCAAAATTATCCACAGCTGAGCCTTGGGTGCTTTGCTGCAACTTTTTTTGCTCTTGCCTCTTTGAAATAGGAGCCTTCCCCAGCATGCCTTTTTTTTTTCAGGAGACAGTTTACATTCTCAGTAAGCCTGGATAAGGCTCTTTTGGAAGGTACAGGCTGTTGCTGTTTCTCTTGCATCTAGTAAGTAGTCACTGCTTTTTATTTTTTGTTCTTTTTGAGCAAGCTAATGAATGCCCTTTCCATTTAGGGCCTGATTTTATGCTCCCTTTGACCTTCATTTCCTTTTTCTTTCAAAAAGAAACCAAACTTTTCTTTTTTATGTGTTTGCAAAGCACTTTGAAGGGGAGGGTGGGAGTCAATCATTGCAATCCTTTGCTTTATTTCTACTAGCAGGACTGTGCAATTCTCTCTGAGCTCTTACTATGTCTGAGAATAGCATGAGTATCCAGAGCTGGGATGTACACATGCAAACAGCCACCATGACCTCAAAGAATCCGACAGAAAGGTTTGTCAGCTGATGCTGCCTTCCAAGCCATGGTATGCAATGGAGGGCTGGCTACCCGTTTCATTGATCTCTTGGGACAGAAAACAGAAAAGAAAGCAGTTTTTGATCTGGGAAAAGGAGCCTTGGGTTTACCCCTCCCATTGGAAATAAGGTGTTCTATCTCTTTATCTGATGTCCCTTCTCTTTTGCTCCTAAAGATGCAAGCGTGTGGTTGCACGCAGGGGAAAGGGGTTTCTTCTCTTCAGCATTAGACGCTGTTGTGCATAACTTATGTATGAGCTGTACAGGCATAAACCAAGAATTCAAAAGCTGGATAGCAAGTAGGAGAAATGCATAAGCAAGCAAAAGTAGAGGGCTGTTTTCTCTTTAGTGAGCATGTGGTTGTTTTTCAGATTTTGACTTGTTTAAATGTTTCCTACCAAATCAAACAAAAATGATATGCACATGAACACAAGCATAATAACTGCCACCTGGATGGACTGTAATGCAGAAGCGTAGACCTGCCTGTACTTAGGGGAGCAGTAGATTTATTTTTGTTGTTTATTTTTATGTCAAATGGATAATTTCCTGTATGCATTAACTAAGTTGTTTAAATCCTAAATGTGACCATCTTTACAGTTTCTGCTTCTAAATCAGAAGGTTTCCTTATCTGATGCAGCAGTGTATACTAGTTATTTTTAATCTGTCTTGTGCAAGGATCTCATTAATCATTCAACTTTGTATCTTAATGTTTGTCCTATTTGTTAGTCTTCAGAGTACAGTGGACCAGATTTTGGCGGTTACTGTATTGGTAGAGGTTTGTGGCTTTAACTCTGCTGCATGACATGCTTTTAAAGAAAGCAAGGTAACGCAATGAGATCAACAGTGTGTTCAAAAACTGTACGAAAGAATCTGGATATGAAACATGAGGGCAGTTATAACTTAATACACAAACTTGTAAGTTGTTTTGGTGACAAACACTCCTAAGTTCCCTAACATGGAATGAGTGCAATCAACCATCTACTGGCAGGGATCCACTATGAGTAGCAGTGTTTGCTATTATAAAGTAACTTCATACTTAGGTAGATGGTAGGTGTGAGAATATATTACTCTCCCAACTAACCAGAGCATGAAGCGGAACTGCCAAAACCCAGTGCAAAGTGAACTTCAGCTTCTGGTGCTACTATTTTTACTGAAAGAGGCTCTTCTTCAGTTCCTCTTTCACTGGAGAAGGAGGCCTTGCTGCTCCCGCACAGCTATGCACTGAAAATTGAGGCCCCAACATGTTTCTGGTGCAGATGTTTTGTTTATTTTAAAATGCACTGCAAAAAACACAAAAACCATCACAAAGTCTTATTAAAGCATTGTGATGGCTGTAGTTGTACTGGAACCTCCCTAAATTAGACTAAATGCACTTAAAAGTATATGTTTTCCATATCGGCTATGTCACTTTGTAGGTGTTCCTGGCTTCTGCAAACTAGTCGTTGGGAACGAAGCCTCAATTGCTGAAGACGAAGTTGCACAAGTAAGAGGGCTGTAAGAGGTGTAGGCTGTCAGCATTTTTGGCAGAGGTTAAGTCTGTGTAGTACACGTTAACTAACTTTAAGTACTGCTAATGGGGGCAATGCCAAAGCAGCACAGACTGCATGCTTTTTAGACTCCCACAGGCTTTCCCAGGCAGACAGGGACCCTCCCGGCTGCTCGCCGTTGTATGCACACTTAGCGTTCAAGTGTGTTTCAGCACTGATCCGTTACCAGCCTCACGCAAAGTATTTTCAACGGGAAAAAAAAGACATGGAAAGTCTGAGTAACTTCAGTGTTGTGTGCTTTATTCTAAATGCGTGTTGAAATCAGTAAGGCAAAAATACTTGAAAAGCTCTGAACCGAGATGCTAACGTGAACATAAAATGACTGAATCGTACAGCAGAACTGGTCCAGAAGAGAAGTTAAAGGGAACATAACGGTAAAGTAGTACCGTATACGATTATACTATACGTGCTCAGGTATTGTGTGAGCTTAGGGCTAGGAGTGTGTGTTTGTAATAGTAGGGAGTTAGCGATGTGGAGCTAAAATCCTCAGTGACCTGTGGTGCCTGTGACTTCATTAGACGCTTCACCTGTACATAAGTTGCCATGATGAACGTTTCATCACTGTTCCTAACTCTGTAAAGTATAGCTGATGAGTCTGTTTCAGAATCTCTGTATTGCAATTTTATGCCACTGTGAAACTCCACTAACGGTAAAGCTGTCATAGATCAGGCTGATTTTATATCCTGTACTAAAACAGTTTCTGCAAATTGTATCAAGGTTTCATTCTTTAGCGTCCAACAGACCTGTCAGATCGGGGGCTATGATGCTTCAAAGTCTGAGGAGCAATTGCCAAGAGATAAAGTATTGATCATGACAGCTATTGATGTCACTGCTATTAAGAAGTTCAGTTACCAAAAACTGGGTTTCAATCTACACATGTCTTATGGCACTCATCAGCTGGGGAAGATGGAAAAGCTAAAAAGCTGAGGGTGTGCTTAAAATTCTGCCTGTCTGAAATATCTGTGTAATCCCCATCATTTGTTTAACACTTACTTAAAACTCACGTTGCTTTTTAAGGACTGGCCCTTTCTGAGGTGTCTAACTCTTTTTTTTAAACTACTGAATAGGGAGGTCAGGGGTGGAATCATGTCACTTTAGTTTTCTCAGGTCTGC